GTAACGGTGCTTTTCAAGCAGTCGTTCAATGCGCATTTTATCAGAATTCTGATTTTCGGTGGCTGTAGGAATTCCGCTAAGTCATATCATCGGTACTGAACCAGTGAACTGAATATAATTACAGAATGAAATGACCCATTAGTCCTTCAGCGGTTGGTGCCTCAGCAGTAGTTGATTTGATAAACATTTATGTGGTTGTTGAGATCCAGGACTGGCCAGTGGTGAGAACTGGCTGGCCTATTTTCAACGCCTGTGAAGTCCTCAAATAGGTCATTTAGATTTTTGAATCAGCTGTAATTCTCCAGCTATGCCGGATCTTTTCCAGTCGCTTTAACCAATGCTGCATCGCCTGATGGTCGTACTACTGGCGATTCTTACGCTCCTTTCGTCTCGTGCGGGGTTTAGTTTAACAGTTTTCACGGCAGAAACACTTGGCAAAGCTTCAACGGTTTTGAATTCTCGCTGACTTGTATTGAACATCGCCACAGTTCTCAAAGTTGTCATTCCCAGTTCGCGATGAGCAGCTAGCTACATTACCAACTAGGATGTAGAATATCATATGCCGAAATCGGCTGTTGAAAGCGCCTGCTTTGGTTAATTTCACGAGCTTCCATTACAGGGCAGTGCGGGTGATCGCTCGGTTTTTGCTACAGCTTGGCTTTCCTAAGCATCGGGAGGGGGGTCTGTACTCCTAAAGGTCGGTGAGTTTGGATGTGAGAGGAGAAAGAAGTAATGTTTCGTAGTTTCGTAGGCATTGTATCGTGTACAGCAGTGGGAAATAAGGTGGTGGATGGAGGCGAACGTTTAGCCCTTTACTGGGATGTGAATAGGCCATTCCTGCGTGTCGTCTTTTGTTAAAATGATTGAAAAGCAGCTGGCTCACCGTATAATAGGTCTTTGCGTTATCTGCACCCGGCATACTTGTGTATCGCAGGATCGCATCGAGCATCCCGTACCAAATGTTCGGAAGATTCTGGAGACAGGGGTTCTTAAGCGAGCTATAATACTAGTCTCTGCTCATGGCACAGAACCAAAGAGAGTGGAAGGGTGAACGTGTGTAAAAGGAAGCGGGCTTGGGAGGATCAGTTGAGTTGTTGCAGTATATTTGTTCAGTTTTGTTTACATGTGCCTAGTTTTCAGAACGTACTATTTTAGTAGGTGTACTGTTGTCGTTCTCCAATTTGACCTCTCTCATAAGTGCTCTAGGCCTCAGCTCATTTTATCCCATTCTCTGTCGCCCTCCATCTCTCCGCCCAGTCCGCTCCCTGCCCTGTTTGGCTGAGCAACAAATTTTCAGGAAACACAGTTTCTTCTCATCATTGTTGACACAGATGGTTTTGATTGCAGAAGGATCAGGGCGGAAGTCCTGCTTACATAGTAGCAGTATTGGTTCATCATCATCGTCCAACACGTCACCATCCGGCTCACCGTCGCGTAGCTCGGGCGCCGATCGCGCCCGATCTCAACAGGGCACGCCACCGCTTCAGCCTGCCCTGAAGCAAACTACCACTAAAAAGGTATCGTTCCGGCACCTTTCACAATTATTTTTATTGCGCCGTCATCTACACAGTCGTATCCAACAACATTGTAATCCTCGTAACTGGCCGGCATGCTGCAGTGGCGAGTAGCGCTTCTGGTGCTTGAGGTTGACG